TAATTTAGGCACATTATGCATTTGAAGTGCATAATACTGCCCAATTCAGATTCTTATTCTGAGTGATTAACTAGCTTGAAAATAGTTTTCGTTAAAAAATGACTCCGAATGAAGTGTTACCGAATGATGGGGAGTATAAACCAAATACACACATTTCTACCATTGAATAAAAGTTCCAGCAAACTATGGGAAACAAGTATTGATATCAAAGAAAAAAGTTAAGACTACCATACTTTCTTTGACATCTGAAGATTTTGGCTCCTGAAAGGTGTCTGAATTCATAAGGAGGCGATGTACCAATGTGGAGTGAAATACAGTTAGGGAGGTTTCTGAGGACTGATTGATTTGAAAGCAGTCCTAGGCAGTGGCTGATGTCAGCAAGAAAACTACTGACAGTTTGGGGGAGCTGGGCAGCTGAGTTATTTCAGCGTGGGACACCTCGGCAGTTTTTATCCACGTCATATGAGAGTTTCACAATAAGACCTGTATGTCTCGCGATCAACATGTTGTCATTCAGGTACATGGTTAGAATCTGATATCCCGTTTTTCTCGACTTGTCAGTGCTCAATGTAGGGCGAACATAATGCAGTGTCATTAATAAAATTCTCCAGTTTTGACGCAAAGATCTTTGCTAAGGGTGAAACTAATGACGACTTCTTTGTATTAAAACTGGAAACAAATACACTTAACCATGTTATCAAGCAGTTCAGATTTTATAGAACACATGACGACGATAAATTAGTCTATTGTGGCAAGATCTTTTGAGTTCAGAAACTACTGCCGCACTTCAATGAATGTCACTCCTCCGTCAAATTCACAATAGAAATCAGATACCAGCTCTCAACCTACCTAATGTTAACAAGGGGAATCGATGGAATAATCACAACATCCATTGTCGAAAATTTTTGTGAAATGGACGAAAAATATACTACAATAGCTGGGTTCTCATCAGCCGAAAAGGAAACTGAATCCATTCCCATTCATTCTGAATATCAACACTTTGAAAGGTGAAATTCAAATCCTACCACTGACGTAAATGAGAAATGGACACTTGAAGAGATTCATAGATGAAAATCTGCAAAGGATTGTTGCTAGTCAGTCATCTAGTAATGTGGAGAAGAAGACGAAGAAGCTGACTGTGATGTTGGAATTGGATGGTGATGGATGGATTGTATGAAGTACTGGAATGCAGACTACTGAAGGCTGTCCAAAGAACATTTATGTAGTCACTCGCCATAACGCCCATGCCAACTGCTTGATGGTGAATGAATACACGAATAGGAAGCTGCGAGTGCTGGTCACTTTCATGTTCATACATCAATTCACCTGCCCGTGTAAAGCTGGATGAATGAATAGTATTTGTCGGAAGATTTTCCAAAGTTAACACTAACATCTTCGAGCCTAGTTTAATACAGGCAGTAGTAGGTCATTCAATTTCTGAATCTTACTATATTTAGTTGACAATGGATAGGGATTTCCAGAGAATTCCTTTGCCATAGTCTAAAAATACACCGCAGTTACTAGGAGATGCTTATTTGCGTTGTTATAGCTCTGGCAATACAAAAACATAAACCAAAATTACTTACCCATAAGCAACTTTTGCTCACACCACTATTGCAGAAGGTTTGGAAGGAAGGAAAGGTAAGGTATATGCCAACTGGAAGAAGGGCTACCTTGTCAAACTCTCAAAGAATAGAGACCTAAGTCTCTGCAAGAACTGACATGAAATCATGCTCAACTGATGTCCACCCTAAGCAGAATATTAAGCCACATCATCTTGTAGAGACTAAAAGATGTGCAGGATTCAAAACTACGAACGGAACAGGCTGTCTGACTGGCTTCAGGAAGAACAAATGATGTGCGCATCAAATTGCAACGCCACGCTATACATCATCGTAGAACAGAGCATAGAATGGCAGAATGGCAAATCTTTACCTCAACTTCATCAACTTTGAAAAAACCTTCGACAGCGTTGACCGAGAAGAAATTTGGCAACTACTTCAACACTACGGAGTACCACAAACCTTTATCAACCTCATTCAATAGCTATATGCCAGATGATGCTACGTGCCGAGTGATTCACAATGGAAAGCTCAGTGACGCCTTTGAAGCAAAGACAGGTGACAGGAGTAAGAAAAGGCTGTCTACTATCACCGATGATCTTCCTGATTGTAGTAGACTGGATTATGCAGCAAACCGTGAGGTGCGAGAAGAAGGTTATATGCTGGCCAGACCGATGAAAAGATTCCAGAGGAAGATTTGGATTTCGCCAACGACGACGATTTATGTCTAATGTCTTGTGGTACAAACTCGAAGATCTGCAGGCGAAAACTAACAAGTTGACAGAAGAGGCAACAAAGACGGAACTTCAAGTGAACGTAGAGCAGACACAGGTGATGAAGATGCCAAACCAACAACAACCAGCACCGATCACCATCAACGGGAGAAATCTAAAACAAGTTGTGTCTCTCACCTACGTATCTATCTGGGCAGCATCCTCTCAACTACAGGCGGTGGCACAGGCACACATGACGACGTCAAAAACAGGATCGGAAAGACAGCATGACAGGCCTTCCGACATTAATCTAAAGCCAGTGTGGACATCTACTCCATTGCACTCCACTCAGCATAAAGCGTGAACAACATCCACATCTTCAACACTAACGTCAGTCAAGTAACTCAGTACTTCCATGTGATGGTTGAGAAACTTGGCGCGTCACGAAAACAATCTCCAACAATCTCCATCTACTGACATACATGATCAACAGCTGCCACCTACGCTCACTCCATACTGACACTGAAGATGGAGATCACATGGATGACCAGAATGATAAGAATAAGCAAGGAGGAACTCACTCTGGTTGGCCCCATAACCAACCGAGGAGGCAAGAACCTATCGTATCGTCCAACAGATGTTCAGAAGAGAGTGGAGATGGATTGTGTTGAATTGGATATACACTGAGAAGACCGATTGAGGATGTTAGGTGCCAGACCAGGTTGTCGAGTGGAACCCACATGGGGAAGGACGAGTTGGGCGTGTGAGGTGATGGTGATATGGAGGAGATGGTGTGATGAAGAAATAAGAGGTTTTTGGGCAGTGGTGAGGCCAGGTTGGGAAGACTGGAGGGAAGATAGTGAAATGTTGACGAGTTACTGAACCCCTATATTCCACTAGGAACCCAAGGGACAAGTAATAAGCAACTTTTGTATTCACTGTACCGATTCACGGTCCAATTTTCAAAATTTTGAGTTCTCAACGATAGATGCTTTTTTCGATTTGCATTTTGTTATTGCCTTTTTCAACTCTATTATTTACCTTACATTTAATTACTATGTTATGTACTCTTCCTTTCTTAACTTCAACTCATTCTATATTTTTTCAGCTGTTCTTTCATATTACCAAATATTTTAATACTGCTAATTTGGCTTCAGTTCTGATATTACTTTTCTTATCGCAGCCTGCTAAAAAAAATTTGTTACATGTAACGTGCTGACAGACTTGAACATTTGATGCTCATACTAATTATATTCAAATGCTGTTGTACAGCTTTTCATAATGACGTCACCTAAAACTAATTTGCCCTCTGAAGTTTTTTCTCTTATTACTCAGCAATTATATTTTAGCACCTAAAGATATTGTTTAAATTCACTTATCTTTCTGAGAATTGTAATCAACAAAAACACCTAGATATTACGCCAAACATTACGATCATCAATTAGTACAGTGAACAGTCTCCATCAAATTAGGCTGCTGCATGTTTCGCACTTACTTATATTAACCTGGATGTATCTTACTTTAAGGACAGGAGAATGAACCTTGGTGAGGAGCCACTCCTTTAACATAGGGCCAACTTAGGACTAACACAGCCACCTCGGGATCTAATTAAATGCCTATTGTTTTCCTAAGATAAAATAAAAGAAGAATTAGTCACTACAATAGCTCCTTAAAGTTGAGGCTGGAAATTTCTACCATTAACATGGCGCTCTGCTGATATAGGACCATTTTTCAAAGCATGAATTAGTCTTCTGCTTAAAAAACTACGTAAATTCCCTAACAAGCGAGATACGCCATCATAATACATCCTTCTGAAGGCAAATAGATACTCAGGGTTGAATTTTGTTGAGAATTGTGCAGTTTTATTTACTATTTTTCTTAAAATGTGATTCATTAGGAAAGATTGTAAAATACTTTTTCAGGTATTCACTTTGCAGTAGTTTCTTTTTAAATGAAACTATCAGAAGTATACAATGATTGCTCTCAATTAATTTGGTGTTTGTTTATCTAAGGGTAATATCTTTTTTAGAAATCTGCAATCTGTCCTAAAATCTGAGATGGTTAGTATCATTGGAGTAAGTCTTATTTTAATGTTAATCAGCTTCTTTCATTCTTACTGTGTTGAACTCAGCTGGTTGATTGTTTGTATTCACCAAACTGTTAAGACTCGTACTTTAACACATCATCATCACCACTGTATTCGACAGTCACAAATCTGGCTTGTGACAAGATTCCAAGCACTGACCTACGGATTACCTGCCCGGTTCTGTATCAACTGCTGACCAGATTTTAGTTTCATTTCAATCACCTAACTGCTGTGTGAATTCATAATACGCTACTGTCGGGTAGGTGGGTCTCTTAGCTCAATCTACAGCACCATGCCAGTAACCCACAGATTATGATAGTTGTCACCGTAAGTTTGTGCTTGTGGTTCAGAAGAAAGGGAATCGTTTTTGGGGATTAAGGTTAAAATTATCTCAAGCTACAGTCAAAAATCTTTATACCAAGCTGTTTGACTGATGGACTTTTTGTTTACATATTTCAGGTATTACTGGTACAAAACAAATCCAATCTGTGTCTATCTAGATGAATAAATTAACTTCAACTTAATTTTCAGTGAGTAGTTATTTCTCATAATGGAACTTTTGAAGCACCTAGAGCAAAATGTTTGAACCTAAAAATGTTCATCTTTTTTATTTTATAAAACTGATATCAAAAATATGGTTCAGGATAAAAGTTATGTACATTGAAGTCTTAAATTGAAAGTTAGAAATGATAAAGGTAGATAGAACTGCAGAATAGTGTACACAATCGAAAATTTCCTCTGAGTTCTATCTCTCCTTTGGTTCATCTCCTCGATAGTTTCCCCGTTCAGTAAAAATCCTCGTAAACGATAGTGTACAGTTTCGGGTAAAGTTAGGCTAAAAGTGCTTCGACTGAAAAAGGATCAATCTGTTTATTAGTGCATGTTGCACTGAATGATGAAACTGAGTTAGAAGTTGTAGGTGTGTGCACAGTTTTATTGGTATTCATTCCTATCACTTTGTAGCCATTAGAAATGATTGATTTCACTCCAGGTTCATTGTATAGTTGTTGTTCTTCAGTCATTTTGTCATTCATCTTCTCTTCATGGCTTACTCTATAATTTTTACTTGTTCTAAACATATGGTTGATGTGTTCCGAGTAAGCTAGTGTATTCTGTCTATCTGATTCACTTGATGTAGAATTTTGCTTTAGTAAACTGTCAACATGATAATTATATGAAGTAGTCACGCTTTTATTTCTGTTGTGTATTTTCTGTTTGTTGATTTGACTATTATTTTCATTCTTGTTGGTGCTTTTATGATTAGTTATCCGAGGTCTGTGCCATCGTTGGTGTGATGCTAAATTAGCTGGACAGTTGAACACCTAAAGAAATCAGAAGATATAAGTTAACAATTACATTGTCAGAGAAAATTCATAAGATGGAAATTAAAACCGTTCAATGTACTGCAAACTTTATTGAAACTCTTCAGAAGTTTAGTTACTTACCTTACTTGCAGGTTGATTTTGCATGTTAAGCTAATGTGTACATCTGCTTCACTTGTTGATGATGAAATTTCATTGACCAGTAAGATTATATTTAAGGTAGTGCCCATCATGGACTGATACCAGCTGGAGGAGATTTGAAAACCTGGGAGCATTGAAAAACCATTTCGTCCTGGTACAGGACTCCTCAGCAGTAAGCACCCATGACAGTACCCACCAGGAATCGATGCTAGACAATCAAGTTTCACGGAGAACGCGTTAACCATTCATACGCTGGGTCCCAGCCCAGCCGTTCACAGTTTCCTGCTTCTGTCAATTCACGATATTGCACTACTATCAACCAACTTCTTCAGTTGGCATACGCTTCACTTCTGACTGGTTGGTCCCTCAGGTTACGGCCTCTGATAGTCGCGTTATATCGTGAATTAATGGGATTAGGAAACTAAGGACTACTGAACTCCGGCCCATTGACTGAATGGTTAATGCGTTCGCCGTGAAACCTGAATGTCCTAAGTTAGATCCCTGGTCAGGCGAGATCATGAGTGCGTACTGCTGAGTTCCATACCAGGACGAAATGGTTATCCACTGCCTCCAAGTTTTCAACGGCTCTCTAAATATTGTCATTCCGTGATGAATGATGCCTTAAGAATAAAATCCCCCATTAACCTTCAGAAATACAATCTGATTGTATGTTCAGTTATCAAACAAATTCTAAGGTGAAATCAGAAGTAAACATAATCTTCAACTTATTTTCTAAAGAATAAAGTTAACTGGGTGAATCAACATCTTTTCTTTGACGAATATTAAAACTGTTCACTGTACTGGTTTCACCCTGCTTTTTGGATTTTAATCTCAGATCCACATTCAGTGGTGCTTATCAAAAATTATACCAAAAGTAATACTGAAATAATAGTGCAACAATGAATTCACCGAACAAGCTACGCTGATATAGTTAATAAAATAATTTTGCTGTAGAACTCATTAGGGTAGTAGAAGTATTCCTATCCTAACGGTATACTGGTCGCTATAGTTGGTGTTAAACATTCTTGTACTCATAGAGTGTCAAATAAAGTCCCTAATGTTCCTTCTGTTCAAACCTTCATTTTTCCCCTGTACAATTCATCCCATAAAGCTTGCTGAAAGTAAAAACATGGTAACAATGAGGACACATTTCTTCAAATAAGTAATATAACAATTCGGTACTTCTCTTGTTATCGAAATAGTTGGATTTATCTGCTAATACATCTTAACTCGTTATTGATAAAAACTTTAGTTTTACGGACTTCACATAAGTAGAAACGTTATATTCATTTAAGAATAATAAGTAGACAACAGTTATGTTTGTCTTATGAGGCTCACTTTGTTTGATCCTTGAGAATGGTCATAACTACTTGGGCGTAAGGAGGTAAAGTTTACTCGTATGGTTTATACATATGATTATTTAACAACAGCTAATTAAGCATTGGCTTTACAGTTTTATCGCGTAGGTTCACCTGTTTATATAAAAAGATCCAATACTCCAGAAACCCTTCCACTACATTTTTAGGCATTCCATCGATGAAGATTGTTTAACAGGGATGAAGAGAAATGATGTAAAAGAAAGAACAGTTTAAGAAAACGGAAATGAGTGAAATTTTTAAACTGAAAGTTGAGTTACTCAATAAAGTGGTGCTATTGAATCAAAACCATGGCACGGTTTTCTATCAAATTCACTAATGGACTGATCATAAATAGTATACCTGCATTCTGAATCATCTGTTTCAACGTTTATTGAAGATTTTAGAAGGCAATTAACCTTAGTATATGACATGTTCCGGCTCCTTCTTCAGACTTATGGTTTAATGTTTTGAAATGAATGTTGGGAAAAATTTATGATGCAAGAGTAAAATTTGGGTTATGTAGTAGAGTATAATACTTTATCAGTGTGTGCTGTATCTGATAGACAATCCAGTAGGGAAATGATGAGTAGTTGCTAACAGTGGAATCCAGGACGCACGTTTCATCCTACTTGGAACTCGTCAGCTGGATGTACCTGCCTCCCAGTGAAAAATTTTGTTTCCACTAAAACTGGAAACCAGGATGAAACACACCTTCTGGATTCCACTCCCAGCCGCTATTCATCATTACTATGAAACTGCTAGAACTACAGCCAATATCAAGACGTCTGTATAAGAGTTCATATGCCAATACAGACCAAGTTATTCGGTCGAATCAACTACGGGAAATTACAAGCAGAAAAATAATCCAGAGTGGAATTTACAATACACTTTAGGTATACACCTAGTTTGCTTATAGTATAAATTGACAAATTCAAAAAAAGTAAATTGAAACCATGTGAATGACTTACTTTACCACAGATTTCACATGGATAAGATAGATTAGCCATGCATGAACATGGATGTTCAGCTAAGCTAAATGCATCTGGAAACCAGCTAAAACATAATTGACATATATATTCTCCAATATGATTTGGTATTTTAGATAACATTTTTATTGCTTTTGATGAACGAATAACAGAAAAAATATCTTTATTTGGATTACTTTTAGACGTATAACAATTTCGTGTTAATTTTTCTGTTTCATTTAATTCATTATCTGGGGGTAGAATACAGACGCCACTAATTGGTGAAGTTAAATGTTCATTGGATTTTAGTCTGGTTTTAATTTTAGTTATTTGAGCTACATGTTTCAACTGACTTGTTGATACAGATGAATTACTGTCAATATGAGATTCTATGATATGTATATTGTTTTCATTACTGTTAATGTCTATACTTTTAACAGTATCATTCTTTTGTAGATTAGATAAAACCCATAGTGTCTGATCATACATTTTATTAGTTTCCTTTAATTGATGTTGATGATTAATACTAGGTAAAAATTGATTTATGTACCGTGTAATATTCGATGTTTCATCAGATTTTGAGTAGAAGCAAACTTCTGACATTTTTTAAGATTGAAGAAAACAATGAACTAGCCAGATGAAAGGGAGGAATCTTCTTTTATTATAATCAAAGAGTTGAGAAATTTAGATTATGAGGAGAGAAAGAAATGGAATTTACTTGGATTGGATGATTAAATAGTCATTTATCTGTTACATATGTATAAGCTGTCATACATCTGCTTCTCATGCTGTTTTTCAAGTTGAAAAAGAGGATGAAGAAATGATCGTTCAGGCGAAAAAAGGAAATCAAACAGGTGATTGGATAAAATAGTGATAGAATGCGAGGTTCCGACAACTTTGTCTCTTGTTCATCTTTTCACCAAGTGAACAGATAAGTTCAGTTAGAGGTGAGAGTAGGTCAGAACAAACTCTGGTAGTGTATATGTGAATTGGGGGTAGACCATTAGGAATGATTATTATAAATTCCTATGACATGTGCTTTCATTTTCTTAGCTGGCTGCACAGTAGAACTGAAACCTCAAGGGGATCAAAATTATCTAAGGTCAGAAGAGGTGAAGAAAGGTTTGAATTGGATTTTGACTCAAGCCATCTAAAACATTTTAAGCATTGCCACAAATTATCTAGAAGTACTGACAATCACAGAGTTAGGTTATTAGGAAACTTGGTGATAACCAGAGTCTACCAAGTGAACACCTTTTTGCCATTAGACTTCTCAGTAATGTATGTGTGGAGTAGAACTCATGAGGTATTGATTTTAAATATGTTCAAACTATCAGTAGACTAGTATTCACTAGACATTTTTCAACTCCACTGTATTTGCAGTGTAACCCGAGCTGCCAACCTAAGAGGGTAATTCGTTGCCATATATGAATCAGTTGTATTCACGGCCATGTTGATCACAGACATATTGTTGGATTCAAAGCAAAAACAAATATGGACAACATACATCACTGTTGCGCATGATATCTCGGCTACATATATTAAAGACTCATTCGTCTTCAAATCAGATTTTGCAATGAGACACTTTGTAAAAGCTACGCTTATCAACAAATCCTTGAACTCCGTTCAGTGTTCCACACCAGTTTTCAAAGCCGGCTGATAATCCAGAAATAAGATTTAAATATTTTCATTTAGTCGTAAAGGAATATAACACTTCAGGAACTGATTTGTGTCCGCTGATATCATCCTCTGTGGCTGTATAATTGCATTCAGATATAATCAGTATGTATACTTTTTGTGTTGACACTTGTAATTCTTCGTTGCAATACTGGATGGAATTGATCTGCCTCTGTTAACAGATGGGCTCATGTGCAGACGCCTCAATATTTCCTAAATGTTTGTTGTTATATCTGACTTGGCTGTGGCTAGTAGTGGAATGCAGGAAGCGTGTTTCGTCCTATTTGGGACTCATCACGCGAATGTACCGGGATCATAGTGAATTGATGGGTAAGAAGTTCAGGTACAGTCAGCTAACAAGTCCCTAATAGGACGAAACACATTTCTTGGATTCCACTGTTAGTCACAACCAAGTCAAGTGTGTATATTTACTGGTCAAAGATATCAATATTTATTTGTCGATTATTCTTAGTACTTTGTGGTCAGGGAAACAATATAGGAATGGAAATTACGTACTAAAGAATAGAAGATATCTAACAACGTAAACAAGAATTAAAATCAACGACTAACGAATTTACAACACAGTGAAGAGACGTCTGTCAGTAAGGAAGGGAATTTGAAATTAGTACTAGCCAAAAAATTTATTACGTAGTACATACAGCTTGTGTAACTAGTTTCGGAAGGATAGATGAAGTGGAACATGTACACCGAAATGGCTAGAAGTGGCAGTGTTTCTTCCTCACATGTGTTCACCTTTGAGCAATTGGTACGGATGATTGTCAGAGTGACTATGTAGAATGTTCTTTGGACAGCCTTCAGTAGTCTGCATTCCAGTACTTCATACGATCCATCCATCACCATCCAATTCCAACATCACAGTCAGCTTCTTCGTCTTCTTCTCCACATTACTAGATGACTGACTAGCAACAATCCTTTGCAGATTTTCATCTATGAATCTCTTCAAGTGTCCATTTCTCATTTACGTCAGTGGTAGGATTTGAATTTCACCTTTCAAAGTGTTGATATTCAGAATGAATGGGAATGGATTCAGTTTCCTTTTCGGCTGATGAGAACCCAGCTATTGTAGTATATTTTTCGTCCATTTCACATAGATTTTCGACAATGGATGTTGTGATTATTCCATCGATTCCCCTTGTTAACATTAGGTATGTTGAGAGCTGGTATCTGATTTCCATTGTTAGTTTGACGGAGGACTGACATTCACTGAAGTGCAGTAGTAGTTTCCTCAAGCAAAATTTCTCATCAAAAAAGATAAATGCATCATCATTATGTATTCCGTAGAATTTGAACAGCTGGATAACAGAGCTGAGTATAGTTTTTTCCAGTTTGACCATGAATAAACTTGATAACAGTGAGCCTAATGACGACTTAACTTCCACTTTGTCGCTCTTGTGGTGAAAGGTGTTATTAAAGCTGAGCTGTGTATCTGGGGTGCATTTTCAGAGTAGTTCTTTTGGGTGGTTTGTCGCTATACCTATGTTAATTACATTAGAGTCAGTGTAGTTACAAATGAAACAAATTGTTTAAATAAGTGGAACATTTGGGAACAAAGCAACATTAAACGACACCATAACATTATTCAAAACATTTACATTATATATGGAATCAATAAACTCAATTGCTTTTCGTATATAATAGTTAGAAACTTGTCTTTTGGAAGGTTCTATAAGTTGAGCTGATCATTTGGTCATTGAATACTGAGATGGGCTAGTCATGTTGAGGATTGAATGTAACAACAAGTTTCTGCCCCTATTTCATTTTCCTGAGTGCGAAAAAATATTGAGATTTTTCTCCAAGAAGTATACAAACTGATTATACCTAAATTCGACCGTACAACCACAAAGCAAGATATCCCCGGAAACGAACAATAAATAAGTGTAAGTTTACCAGGCGGACAAACAGTTCATCAACTCACTGAACAGGACTTAGTTAATTTTACGTGGCTTTTTCTTGAGTTCAGCATACTTATATCTCCAGTGAAACTGACATCGTCGACGCTTCGAACTGTCACCTATGATGCGGTAAATAAATCTTTCTTAATTAAAATCAGCAAAATAGCATAAACATCTAGTACTTAGGTTAGCTAAACTGATGCCTAAATCTCCTTTTATTGTATGACAGTAGTTGGCTACAGAATCCAGGATATTTAGTTGTCGTATATGGAGTTCGTTAAATGTATTTCACCATATCATAGTACAATAATTAGGTTTCCAATGGTTTCATTTTTAAAGCTCCCGTTTTAAATTCTGTGTATTTAGTTGTCTGTTAAGCTACCCGAAATGTTGACTGAATTTAACCCAGCAGGTGACTATCAAGAAAGTGATACTTCACAATGTTTCATTAGAGCTTAAAACTTCACTTTTAACAAATTTTCAGTTCCTTCCTCATCGGTACTTGCGATTTCCCGTTGCTATATAGGTCCGAGTTGCTCGACTTCTGTTGGCAGATAGGCTTCTATGCGGATGCCTAGATAGTATTTAAATATTCATTATGTTGTAGTTTACTTGGTGGCTAATGGTGCGTTTCGTCCTGTTTGAGACTCGTCAGCTTGATGAACCTGAACTCTAGTGAGTGTTGTTTCCACTGAGACTGGAACCCAGTACCCATCGCTTCAAACGCTAAAGAGGTTAAGCATTTCGACCCAGTATGGCAACGGTAAATTACAGGTATCAGTAAACAACAACTGGTGCCCGTTAGGCAAGTGATGGCTTTTCTGCCCCAGTAACCCTGTGGATAACGCTTCAGCGTTTGGAGCGATGGGTACTGGGTTCAAGTCTCAATGGGAACAACATCACCCTCTGGGGTGCAGGTACATTCAGCTGACAAGTCCTAAACGGGACGAAACCTGTTTCCTGGATTCTAGCAGTAGTCACCAAGATTAATAAAACATCGTGAATAACCGGCAATACTGAGGCATCCGCATACAAGCCCATCCACCAATGGAGGTCGAGCAATCCGATCCAGTGTAACGACGAGAAATTACAAGTATCAGTCAACAATATCAGTATACTTTGTGACCAACAGAGGCAACTTGGATTAGTGTGCATACTTTACAGTTGTAGATGGAAACATGATTTAGATACCTGTTATATTCATGCAGTATTATAGCTATAAAGATGATAATTAATTAACAAATAGAAAAACAAAGTTACAGATAAGCTGTATGTATTGGCTTTGGGAGAATAATAATCATTTTGAATTATTTAGTGAACCAAAGGATCTCAATTCAGTGTATTATGTAAGTAAAGATACAGATAAAAATTTTGGGAATTCTTGAGTTGTAATAGTTTAGAGAGTGATAATATAAACAAAATAAACTTATCTGTACTACAAACAAACATTCTCTTCCATTTGGTGATATAACTTATCAACATTAATGGATTCTGACTGACTCTATCGGTCAATTCTTTTGTTTGACTAGACATGTTACTGACACTTGTTTGAAATATGAGATTTGACTAAACTGGATAGACACGATAAGAGATGATCAAACTAACTGTGAATTTACAAAATCTCAGTTTCATCATCATCCCTTAATTATCCATTCCGCTCTTGTGTCACTTATTACTTCAAACACCACCACCGAAGTTTCATCAACAAATCTGTCATCAATTTTGGGGTTTATATTTGAGTAGAGTTTTTCACCTGAGGTTTTCATTATTGTTGTTCTCATGTGTGTTTGTTTGTGTGTCGTGAAATGAAGGGGTAAAGCACACAATGTTTTCAATTTTCATCGAATGAAAATATATACTTCAGGATGTTAGATATCTGTCAGAAGTATTTTTACAAATATAAAGATAATCAAGCTGTAGGCATTCCTTCTATGCATTCAGTATTATGTATATATATGTATATGTATATGTATGTATGTATATATTTGTATAAATATATGTATATATATGTAT